TCTTCTCTGTATCGTTCCAATTTTAGTATATGTACTGCCGAAGCAAGTACACTTGCTAAAGACGTCCGAGCGTATATATACTCACGGGACAGAATAACTTTGATAGCGTGTTTTAGAATTCACTTTTTGTTAATTATTTGTAATTTTAATTTTAACAAGTGAATAGCTCAATTGTTATCAAATAATTTGTATTGAATAAAAATCAATTTAATTAAGCTTTTTCTAGAAATAAATATACTTAATACAATGTAAAAAATTGCAAATCATACTAGTTTTGAAAGTTCTTAGCGCCATCTATGTTCTGTTTTGGAAACTAAACTTTTTAAATAACTATTAAGTTAATATTAATTAATAATTATATTTGTATAGAAAATAATTAGATTATTCAAAAAAGTTAAAACCATACAATTTTTTTATTTAATTATTTTAACAAGGAAAAGAAGTACAAGTAAGATTATTTTAAAATATAATTCTATTTTACAATTTTTGAATGCGCCATCTATTGTACAATTTGATAAATCTTTAATATCAATTTTCACTAGAAATTCCAAACAATGTCAGCTTGTTTCGGTGATTAAATCAATTTCAGAGCCATCTATGAAAATAAAATGAAATCAGTCCCCTTTTTTTTTTTGATTTACTTTTTATTAAAAGTTCCACTAGATGGCAGTTGTTAGTATTTTTTCAGACAAAAAATGTTCATTGCTAATCGTAGTAAAATTTATTTTACTTATTAAATTTAAACTAACTAACTAAAATCACGCTATAAATTAATACTATGCTTTTAAGCTAATTCAATAATAAAAAAACGTGCTTATGGAGCCAAAATTTAAGATTATTTACATCCCAGTTTTCCCATTCTAAAACACGCTATCAAAGTTATTCTGTCCCGTGAGCATATATACGCTCGGACGTCTTTAGCAAGTGTACTTGCTTCGGCAGTACATATACTAAAATTGGAACGATACAGAGAAGATTAGCATGGCCCCTGCGCAAGGATGACACGCAAAATCGTGAAGCGTTCCACATTTTTTGGACATTCATTGCAGTTCCAGCTTGCAGAGAAAAGTTCCATAATATCTTGGTGAATTATCAAGACATGAATCTTTACTATCTTTTTTTTCTTTACAAAAGTTAGAATGTTACCTTTTATGACTCGGCGTGTAAACATTAATTCTGAGGCAATCTTCATCCAAGTAGTAACCCTGGCGCGCCGGCAGAGGGCAGGCGGGGCCCTCCACTGTCGCGTTCACCTCCTCCTTATACGACAGGATGGGCACAGGCGGCTGGGGATCAAATTATAATGAACACTACAGGATGTTTTAAATTTAGCTTAATATAAATAAACATATATTTTTATTGAAAGTGATAAAAAATAGCCATCTTTATTATTTGGAATACATTGTTATTTAATTTTCGAGTTACAAATAATATTACATTTATAAATTATGCTGATGTCTTGTTTTCAAAGTAATTGTGTATAGACTTGCTTTCGCCCGCGACTTGCCGCGTGAAACTTAAAAAGACAATAGTGTCCTTTCAGATTATTCCGCACGTCTATGCCAAATTTAATCTAAATCCATTTAGCCTAGAAACTCTAACAAACATCCATCCATCTAAATTTCGCATTTATAATATAAAGTAACATTTGTACCTGAAATCGAAGTTCACCGACAGGAGGCTCTGCGTACCGGATACCACGGTACGCCTCGAAGGCTCGCCCTCGCCTCGTCTGCATCATGGACCCTCGGATGGGGCCCGATGGGCTCATCACCACGGGGAACTGTTCAGATTGAGATCCTGGAATATATTATTAACTTCTGATCATAAATTTAAACTTTAAAATACAAGTCTTGAAATATTTAACTTTAATGTCACACTAGCTTTTGCCTGCGACTCCGGCCGCGTGGAAAAAAACAAAAGTAACTAGCCTATGTGTTCTTCCAGACTAGGCTTTACATCTATGCTAAAATAATTGAAATCTTTTCAGCAGTTTAGTAGGTAAACTTTAACACACGCCCACTTATTAAGTAACTTTATCATTTGTCAAGTTTTAAGTAAGAAATAAGATTGTAACACATCTGAAATCGCTGAAATATATAAACTATTAATTTGTGGAATAGTAAACCCTACTTTGTTTAAATACGAGCCATTCACTGACCTTTGTTTCCATCTCCCTGGTCTGCTGTCCTGACTAAAGAGACGAGACACGCTAGCGAGCACACGAACAGACACAGGACCCGACATCTGGACATGACGATGGCGCGGAACACACTGACTACAACGATGTGCTTTAGTAAACAATACACAATGCTATCTGATTCATTGTCCTACAGGAAAACTGTACGTTTAATACAAATAAGATTTAGGGTTGGTACAGTATAAAAGATTATTACATTTCAAAAAAGTACAATATTTTTTTAAAACAAAATACTTTATATGTCATGTATCAACTTAACGTTAATATATTTTATACTAGCTTTCGCCCGCGAATCTTTCCGCGTGGAAATAATAAAACCTAAGGTAAATAGCCTATGTGTTTTGAGACTTTCTTGAACTATGTCAATTTACCGAAATCCGTTCGGTAGTTTAGGCTACAATTTTTTATTTCATTTTATAAATCGTATGAGGTCAAGCGCGATCCATATAAATAAATCTAGGCAATAGTGACGATAGATTAATAGTATGAATACGATACGAGTGTACGTATGAGGAAAACGTAAACATAATTTGTTAATCGGAAAGTCCAAGTAACGTATTGAATAAGTATTATTAACCAGAAAGTGTTTCAACTAAACGGAAAGTTATTCATTTTAAACCCGATACATATTCAGTTTTAAATGAACAGTGGAATTGTACGGTTAATGTTGGGATGCTGGAGTTTCCATTTTATTACAACCTAGTGTAGTTCGTAAGATACGGGTTTCATGGCGAACATGGCGCATGCTACTGTGTCGAAATATCGGGATCTAAAACAATGCAGAGCGTCAGTGGCTCAGTGGTTTGAACACTGGACTTGTAATCTACAGGTCTTGGGTTCGAATCCCGCCGTACCAATGTGATTTTCGATTTTTCGAATTTTCATATGTACATAATTTAGCCGACGTTCTTATGGTGAAGGAAAACATCGTGATGCAACCTGCACATATCGGCGAAGAAATTCAAAGATATGTGTGAAGTCAACCCGAAGAAAACCCGTATCTGACGAGCATTATATTTGTAAAAACCACGACAGTTTAAAGTTACACACTACCTAGTGATTTATTAGTTTCAGGTTAGCCTAAATTTAGAGTAAAACTCAAATTAGATAATTTGTAAACGCATTTTATGTTACGAGTTACGAGCTGATGTCCACTTTGTTAGCGTGGAATTACAAAATGGTCGTCTGTTACCATCCCGCATGCTACTATCTTCTAACACACCTTCCAGTAAAGGCCCGTCAAAGTTTCATCCGTCCCAGAGACAGTCCGGTCGCCATTTTGACAGCGCGAAATTAAAAAAAAGCTTATAACTTACCTGTCTATATCAGCCCTTCAAAATTGGTCTAGCCGTTTTTAAAATTAAATTTTGTAGTTAAAATGCCACTTTAAAAGTACTATTAATTAATGTAATTTAATACATAAATGAAGATTCTCTTATAATTGTTAAAATAAATGTGTGTTACATATAAGATCGCTTTCTAATTCTACATCAGGGGTCAATAATTATCTTGAGAAGGTCGGCATATAACATGTAACGCTTAAGCACTTGGCAACTTAATTAAGTTAAGACTTTGAGTAATCGTAATGTAAGTTAAAGTTCATGTGAATTATATAGTTACATAAATTAAGTATTTGTAAAAATTATAGTATTTTTAAAAAGATATTCCATTCTCGCGATGAAATATTTATTCGAAAGTAGATGAAAGTTAATTAAAATCGAAATTATTAAGCGAATAAAATCGAATGCAAGTTGCTTTTATATAATTAAAATTTCTGACACAAAAAATCTTATTGTTTTCGTACAACACACGAATTAAAATAAATTACGATAAACTGGAAACTAAGATTACGCGTATGGTTCTCACCAACAGATGGCGTTGTTTTTAAAAATTTAAAAGTGCGCGCGATTTTTGTACTTTTTCACGCAATATAAAAATTGCACGTCATTGTATTTAATACTAGCTGTTGCTCGCGACTTGGACGGCGCGAAATTAAAAAAAAAAAAAAACGTTGCTTATGTTACTCACAGAAAATTACCTTACTAAGAAGAATTTTTTAAATCGGTCCAGTTGTTGAGATAATTCCATACATACAGAAATCCAAAAATACAAATCTTTTATCTTTATAATATTAGTATAGATATAGTTATTGTATAGATGGACATTGTATAGATTATGTGAAAGGCGAAAGTAAGGAAGTACGAAGAGAGTAAATTCAGATATAAAGTTTGATAGATTTGTCTGAAAAACTACATATACTGACAGTAAGTGTGAGAAAGGCAGAATAATATATTTCATACATTAGTCAAACAATATATATTTTCTTTGTCAATTTATTGATAGTAAGAGATCACTGTTTAAGATTGGATGATATTGCGCGAAACGGGTTTAAGTTAGTTCTGTCACCACGAGCGCACCACCTCTACACCACCAGTCATCGCAAAGTGGTGACGGAGCGCGCGCGACACCACTAAGTTACATCTAAGTTGCATCTAAGTTGCAATCAAGTTACGTTTAAGTTACATATTGTTAAAACTTCGATAGTTATACTAGGTTGTGAGTGTTTAGTAACAACTTACATATTAACTAAGTTACAAAATATTTAATTTATTTTGGTTACTTTTCAGTAGTTTTAACCGAACGCAATATTGCTTCAATTTTTTGTAAATAAGAAGTACTCCGTTTCATATAAAGTGATTGAAATTTAAGCTCGATATAAAGAATGTTGATTTTCAGTTATAATATAACTTTAATTAACTTGGAAAAACAAGTGATATGAGAAACAAGTGTTAACAAAGTCGTCGGTTCGAATCTCAACTGGCTTGTATTACGTTATTGTAGTTTCGTTATTTCATACAATATTAGTGAAAAAAAATGCAATTATAGTTAGATTTTGAACAAACCGTGTAAATAAACAAAGTGTATGCATATAGGCAACTATTCTTTACAAAAATATATTTATAATTAAAATAATTAATTACGTGTGTCAGTTATCAAAGCAAACACAGAAGCATATAGCTATCTAATTTTATTTCAATATTAAAGAAAGGGACGTATATAATGTTTGTTCTTTCTATTTCCGTATTGATTTTATTTCAAGAAAAATAACTAACTTTGTAATATTTTAATAAATATTAATATTGTAATAAATTTTAAAATATCGTAATTATATCATAAATGCGTTTGGATAGATGGACTACTCGTAGTTACGTTATGTCCAAAATTTTATAACAGATGGAGAATATAGTCTGCAAAACACATAGACTACTAAATTTACTTTAATTTCGCGAGAACAAAGTCGCGGGAGAAATTAGTATTATAAATTGTTAGGCAGCGTAAGCGGAGAAAAGTCAATATTTAGTGATTTTACGCCAGGGTCCAGAAATACGCTCTTCATTAATAGTTCCTAAACATTAGTAATAATCAATTAAAGCCTATATTACGCACAGATAAATTACCTTTCTAATGGTGAAAGAATTTTTAAAATCGGTCCAGTCATTTTTGCGTGAATCAAATACATACAAAAATACAAATCTTTCCTCTTTATAATATCAATAAGTATAATTTACAAATAATAATAATTTACTATTAAAATGTACGTGATATTACGAAAAGACATATTAAAGTCACGTATTGTAAAATATTACCGTCGGGAATTACTACAACTTTAAATAACTTATATTTAACTTAATCAAGTTACGGAACTTGTTATGTTAATTCAAATCGTGATGTACGAAAAAACTATACAAATACATACAGCATTGTTGATAATCTATTAGTGAATAAAAATGTATGTTGTTTTGTTGTAATTTTGAATAACATCCTAAAAAAATCTTTATAAAAAACTGGCGGTTCCCGTGCGGCTTCGCCCACATGAAATTATAACAACTTTATTTTATTGTATACACTAGTTTTTGCCCGCGAATTAAAAATAAACAAAAGTAAGTAGCCTATGTATTCTTCCAGACTATCCTCTATGTCTGTACCAAATTTCATGGAGATTCGTTTAGCAGTATAGGCTACAAACTCTAACAAACATCCATCCATCCATCCATTTAAACATTCGCATTTATAATATTTATAAGATATAAGATTTGTCAAATTTCACAATTACCGTTACCATAACAACCTTGCTTCCTTAATGTTGGCAGCTTGTAGTTTATGGTCCGTTTCCCACATGACGGTTTTTTCTAATTTATTGGCCCCCTAAGTTTAATAGCGTGAAAATATATAGCTTAAAGCATGTCGTAAGTGTAGGGCTTTTTACTTGCTGATTGCTGACATCCTATGCCACAAAGTAGTGTGTTTACGCTTTATTACAATAGTATAGATGATTCTGTGTTGTGCCTTGCGCTGTCAGGCGGAATTTTTTGTCAATTATAGAAGAATGTTGTTACATAATGATTTTTAATTCTTGTTTTCCCGAAAAGGAACGAAACGAGTTATAGAACTTTCAATTTTTATTATTTATATTGTATTTTTTTTATTAAATTCCTCGGAGATATATTACCAACAGATCTTTGTAATATTACATTGTCTGTTTTATTTGAAAAATATTAATAGAAACCAGATATCAATAGTTTTATCTTAATTTATCTGATGGTGTCTCAATATTTTTTTTTTTTAGAAATTTTTTTATGAAACTCGATAAAAATAAATTTAAATAACAATAGCTTATAATATTAAAAAGCTCCTATATTTATATATACATAGAAAACAAGTATAAATAAACTGGAATTTTCGTACTTTCACTTGTCTCTACATCGTCCATTATACTCGTAATATTATAATTATCGGCTAGCTAACGTCTTTTCGTTTAGAGATCCTTATAAATTTAATACTCTGAAAACATCCTTAATATTCAAACTAATAACAACACAGTTTTTACGAATAATTTTCGTACAAATTAAAACTCACAACCCTTAATTGTTTAAATATAAAATATAATTCTTTTGCATCGATTTTTATTGTTAAATTTCTTTAGTTTTATTCAAGTATGTTTAAGGATATTTTTCATTAAAGTATGAAATCACGAATTAACTGTATACAAGCCTGTAGGGATATGTAGCGGCAGTTGAAGATATATCAAAAATGTAATACGGAACCATACAAATTGATTAATTTTAAATATTGCAACATATAGTGTATGTTTGATTACGACGGACACGAGTCGAGTTATAATTCAAGTTGTTTGGAAGATTAATTGCCTTTTTCACTAATACAATTATAATTGCCTCGAACATTCAAATAGATAACCTTTTTAATGTGCGGTCGAGATTTTAACAACATTTCGCAACATAACCTCAAAGAATGAAGAGAAAAATTGACAATCTATGAAATAAACAGTTCCAAATTCAAAAATTAATCGAATAAAAATGGCGACCGATAAACAAAACGAACAAAATAAATCATTAAAAGAAAAAATAACAATAAACGTTGACAGCTCCGATGGCGCGAAAAATGATAATCATAACCTCAAAATGGAGGAACAGAACGGAGTTATGGACAAAAATTTATTGGAAATGCCGAAAGATTTATTAGGAGCTCCGAGAAGAGAGCATAGAAGATCGTTTATGGAAGAAGAGAGTGCTAAAGAGAGAAGACGACTGGTTTTATTGAAGCAATGCTCTGCTATACTGAAGCAAGGGGAACAGAGGTACACCAAGGAGTCGCTACATAGAACATTTCAAGATGAGGTTAGTTTACAATTTATAGACTAACCAGAGTTTTTATAGAGGTGTCCCATAGTGTATATATAACATAGATAAACCGTAAAGGGATTAAAAATCACAGGGTTAACAGACTAAGGTTTTTTTTTATTTTAACGTTTTTGTTACTTCATGGTCACCAAATGAATTAATAAAATTTTAAACGTTTTTTGTGTCATCTAGTTTGATTTTTTTTTAATTATAATTACGTTTAAAAATAATACGCATTTTTAATTAAAATCCTCGAGTAAAAAAAATCATAAAAGTGTGTTTTTTTTAATACAGCGATAACACTATGTTTTGGTAATTTTTTTTCATTTAATAAGTTGTAATCGCTCCGCTTATGAATCCGCGTTTTTAATGGCCCAACACGCATTACCACACACTGGCCGAACATGATCATCGTAAACTCTAAATTAATATTATTAAATACAACTTTCAATATAAGAGATGCCGAAATACGTTGCTATTGATTAAAATACACTCGATATTGAACCTTATCACAATCGCAAAGGATTCAATATTACAAAGTTTAAATTTATCATTTCGTAGAAGGTTTTTGCTTCAATAAAATCACATTTATTTCCGATTCAATGTAATTTGAAATAATAAAAAGTTTCGAGGTATTTTTCGCCCACGGGCATGGTAATGAGTTGAAGCAATTTGGGTCAATTTAAAAAAAAATCTTATCGAATAAACAATAATAAAATATTGAGCAATAAGTATATGAAATTAATTTCTTTCTGGAATGCCTAATTTGCCACTTTACTTTCCATTACTTATCTTATAAAGAGGGAAAAGTGGTGACAGTGTAAGGGACGCAATGGAATCCTTTTTCTTTGCGTCTCCTCCTCCATCAATAAGCAACGCCTGTAGTTGCGGATATAGGCAGCATTCGCTTCGCTATTTTGGCGAGATCTAATTACAGTATACTTATTTTTTTTTATAACATAAGGTGGCAAACGAGCACCCCTCCACCTGAATCCGCCAAAATGGCGAAGCGACCGCTGCCCATAGACATCCGCAAATGCAGATAGGTTGCCTACCCTTATCCGACGGAGGAGGAGACGCACATAACCCCTTCCTATGCGTCTACTCCACCGTCAAATCCACTTCCTCTTCCCATCCTGTCCTTATAAGAAAAGGATGGTAAAGAGAAAGGGACTTAAATTAGGCCTCCGACACCACCGTCATCAAACGAAACACGGAATTGCTTCCATTTCACGCCTGTCTTCTGTGTGGTCGTGGTATTACACCGGGCGTGCCGGCCCTGCAGTGCTAAGATGTTAAAGCGGGCACTACCACTGCAAAATTTATTTTTGCCACCATATTTATATTGCCACCTTACGACATTTCTCATTGATTTCTTACTGTATTTCTTCAACTTATGGGCCCGATTTAATTTGTCGCCACATTTAGACCCCAGGGGTTCCACTTTGATGGGAATCTGTTTTAATTATAGAAACAGTAGAAATAAACTTGGAAACCATTTATCCACGTCAAATGGGCAACATTAAATCCTTTTTGCTGTCCCTTTAGTATACACCGCCAGTTTAATGGCGCATTACCAACGCATCTCTATCTGAGATATCTATCTTGCTCTAACTAATGGTCAGATTATGTGTTTCATCTCTTTCCTACATATGTAAGCGTATCTTGAATAATGTATTGCTCGGCTACCATCACTCCCTAATAGTAAATAATTGATCACTTTAGTATACGAATATAAAGATGTCATTATCAGTAATTTGTTACGGTCATAGAACATATTCTTTATCTTAAAAAACTAAGTTAAAAATCACAATGCTCTTGCTTGGTCGTATTTCGAATTCAGTAAATAATAATGTCGGAATAATTTTAACATATTAAAAACAGACATGTTTGTATTTTATCTGAAAACATTGAGATTTCATAAAATCCGTAAATAATGTAAGGTAAAAGTACCAGTAAATAATAGTAAGTAATCGAATATCTTATTAGGTCACTAGTGACTACTGGGTCTTTTACCTAATGTCTGCCAATGTGTTAATTTCTTATTGCCATTAACACGTTCCCTGCGGCAAGTAAAATTATAATTCCTTAT